GTCGCCTAAGTCTATCGGAAAACACATATATAATTACATATTGTTTTTGCGATTAATCACTATGCTTTAATTATGTTCAATTTGTAACAATGAAATTGGGTGTCACCACAACATGAGGAACTGCATTAAAGGGTCGCGCGCATTAGGAAGGTTGAGAACCACTGCTAAACTATTGAGTAGAAGTGATTAGAGTGGACATCCTGACCTCACTCCTAATCTTGCTGTGTATAAAAGCTGTAGGTTTTTCATAGCTGAGAGTTCACCTCTATTCCTAGTTTGCTCATGTAGGATTTTGTCATGTTTTTTTTTCGGGGTCTATTGAGATGATTATATAGATTTTCTTTTAAACTCTGTTGATATATGGAATTTCATTGATTGATTTTTTTGAATGTGAATCCAACTTTGCATTTCTATGATGTTATATACATCACAATATATTATCCTTTTTTAATATATTGTAATATTTAGTTTGATAAACTGTTTTAAAGAAATTTTGCATCTATGTTTATGATGATTGGCTTATGTTTTCTCTTTTTTTTGTAATGTCTTTGTCAGGTTTTAGTATTAGAGTAATGTTGACCTCATAGAGTGAATAGGGACATGTTACTGACTCTTCAATTTTTTGCAAGAGTTTGCCTAAAATTTCTTCCATAAATATTCCAGTGATGCTATTTAGGCCCCAAATTTTCTTTGTTGTAAGATTTTAGCTGCAAATTCATTTTCTTTAGTATCTATAGGGCTATTGAGGTTATTTATTTCTTTTTGAGGGAGCTTTTATAGTCTGTGCCTTTTAAGGAATTTTCTTGTTTCACATAAGTTATTGAATTTATTAGCATACATTTGTTCTTAATATTTCCTTATTACTCCTTTGAGAGATAACACCTTTCTTTTTTCCTGGCCATTCTGGATGGAGATTTTATCAATCATATTTTTTGAAAGAACAAGCTTTTAGTATCTGATTTTTCTCTGTTATTTTTCATTTTCTATTTCATTGATTTTTTTTTTGTTAATCCTCCCTTGAGGATATTTTTTCCATTGATTTTTTTTTTTTATTTTATTGATTTTTTACAGACAGGAAGGGAGAGGGATAGAGAGTTAGAAACATCGATGAGAGAGAAACATCGATCAGCTGCCTCCTGCATACCCCCCACTGGGGATGTGTCTGCAACCAAGGTACATGCCCTTGACTGGAATCGAACCCGGGACCCTTGAGTCCGCAGGCCGACGCTCTATCCACTGAGCCAAACTGGTCAGGGCCCATTGATTTTTAGAGAGAGTAGAAGGGAGGAAGAGATTGGGGGGGTACAGAGGGAGAGAGAGACAGAGAGGAGGGAGGCAGGGAGGGAAGGAGGGGAGAGAGAGAGAGAGAGAGAGAGAGAGAGAGAGAGAGAGAGAGAAACATCAATGTGAGAGAGACACATCCATTGGTTGCCTCCCGCACATACCCCTACCAGGGCCAGGGATCAACCTGCAGCCCAGGTACATGCCCTTGACGGGGAATCAAATCTGTGACCTTTTGGTGCACAGGTCAACCCTCTAACCCCGAAGTCACACAGCCAGGGCTCACTGATTGTCTGTTGGATTCATGTTATTTTTTTAATCTTCTGCTTATATTGGGTGCATTTTTTTCTAATTTATTGAGTGGAAACTGAAGTCATCAGTTTGAGATCTTTTTTCCTTCTATAGGCATTTAGTGCTGTCAGTTTTCCTCTACCCGCTGCTTTCACTGAATATCATCAATTTTGACATGTATTTCCCTTATCATTCAGTCAAAATACCTTTTACGCTCTCTTTTTATTTCTTCTTTGACTCATGGTTATTTAGAGGTGTGTTTTTTAGTTTTATTTTATTATTTTACAAATAATATTTTTTTTATGATTGCATTCTGCACACTCTGGAAGTTATGTTCAAATCTGCTGATACTTTATAGAGCTGATAAATTAGGACAGTATGTCTTCCCAGCTAACAGTGTATTTCATATTCATTTAAAATGTCTTATCAAACATATTGGGAATTCCTAGATAGCTTTTGGGTTTTGGTTTCTAATTGAATCCTATTATCACCAGAAAATATAATTTGTCTAATTTGAATCCCTTTAAATACATCAATTATTGGGTGATGAACAAGAATAGTGTATATGTTGGTAAAGTTGTTGTGTTAAAAATGTGTATTCTGCTATTGTTGAGTAGGATTTTTTATAAATATCAGTTACACCAAAATTTTTGTTCAAATCTTTTATATCATTACTGATTTATCTAATTGTTCTACTTGTTCTATCAATTATTTTTTGAGTAGGTTATTGGAATCTCTGACTATAATTGTGGGTTTTTCTATTTCTCCTTGCAGTCTAACATTTTAAAAAATATATATTTTATTGATTTCAGAGAGGAAGGGAGAAGGAGAGAGACATAGAAACATCCATGATGAGAGAGAATCATTGATTGGCTGCCTCCTACACGCCCCATACTGGGGATCATGCCCACAACCTGGACATGTGCCCTTGACCGGAATTGAACCGGGGACCCTTCAGTTCACAGGCCGACACTCTATCCACTGAGCCAAACCAGCTAGGACGCAGTCTAATATTTTTGCTTCAAGTATTTAGAAGCATTGTTAGTAGCTTAGTAAACATTTAGGATTACTATGTACTTCTTGATGAATGACTTCTTTATCATAATGAAATGACCCTTTTTATCCCTGTTAATAATCTTTACTGTAAAATCTAATTTGGTTGTTATCAATGTAACAACCATGTAAACTTTCTTTTGATTAGTGTTAACCTGGTGTGGGCCCCTACCATTTTTTTTTTACTTGAAATGTATTTGTATCTTTCTATTTAGAGTGTGTGTAAGCATGATGGCATGTGTGTATGCATGTATGTGTGTACAGTTGGATTTTTCTCACCTTATCTAATCTGACCACCTCTGCCTTTCAATTAGGATGTTTAGACCATTAATATTTTAAAATATCATTATTAATACATTTGGATTTAATTTCAGGATCATATTTTAGTTTCTATTTGTCCCATTAATTCTTTGTTATTTTTTCTTTTTTTGCTGGCTTTTGGGTTGATTGAGAATTTTCATGATTCATTTTATCTCCTGTGTTGGCTTATACTAAGTAACTGTTTTTGTTTTAAGTAGGTGCTATTGGAGCCCTGGCCAGTGTGGCTCAGTTGGTTGGAGCATTAGCCCGTGCACCAGAAGGTGGCGGGTTCATTCCCAGGCAGAGCACATTCCCAGGTTATGGGTTCGATCCTTGGTCAGGGTGCAGGAGGCAACTGTTTGATGTTTCACATCTATGTCTCTCTTCCTTTCTCTCTCTCTCTCTCTCTCTCTCTCTCTCTCTCTCTCTTTCTCTCTCTCCCTCCCTCTCCTTCCTCTCTGAAATCAATAAAAATCTATCTTTTAAAAAGTGGTGCATATATACAATAGACTATGACTCAGCCATAAAAAAGAATGATATCTTGCTATCTGCAACAACATGGGTGGACCTAGAGGGTATTGTGCTGAGAGAAGTCAGAGGAAGACAAATGCCATATGATTTCACTTACTAAGTATATGTGAAATGTAAAAAGCAAAATAAATAAACATGCAGAACAGAAACTGACTCACAGATACAGAAAGCATTTTGACAGTTGCCAGATGGGAAGGAGGTTGGGGGATGGGTGAAAAAGTGAAGGGATTAAGAAGTACAAATTGGGTCCCCACTGGTCTGACTCAGTTGGTTAGATCATGGCCCAGTACACTGAAAGATCATGGATTTGACCCCCGATTGGTGTGTGTATGGGAGGCAACCTATCAATGTTTCTCTCTCATGTCGATGTTTCTCTCTCTCTCTCTCTTTCTCTCTCTCTTTCTCTCTCTCTTTCTCCTCCCCCCCCCGTCTCCCCTCTTCCTCTCTCTGAAATTAATAATAAAAAAATAAGTGCTCTCAGGCTTCTGGTATCCATCTTTAATTATTACTGTTTACCTTTAAGTAATATTATGCCATTTCACATAGAGTATAAGAAACGTAAGGCAGTATACTTCCATTCTAGAACTTAGCCCCATTGTTCCCAGGCCTTTTACAGCTTTATCCTATATAATAAAGATGCAATATGCAAATGGTCACTACTCCGTGAAGTGTAATGACCGATCACATAGAACTGGATCACGGATCAGCAGGAGGGTGGGCAGTGAGCTATAAGCGGCGGTGGAGAGCTACAGGAGGTGGCAGGGCAGCAAGCTATGGGGGGGGGGGGCAAGGGAAGGGGGCCAGGGGGAGCTACAGGAGAGCGGGGCAGCGGCCGGAGAGCTAATGGAGGGCGGCAGCGAGCTACTGGCAAGCTACTGGCCCACAGATTCGTGTGCAGGGCTACTAATATGTTATAAATCTTACTATACACTATCGGTTTTGCTTTAAACATGCAGTTATTTTAAAGGAGATCTAAAGAGTAAGAAAAATCCTATATAATAGGATTTGGTTTACTTGGATTCCCAGCTCCATTTCCTCACTCAGAGATCATGAGACTTTGCCTAGCTTTCCTCCTCGCAACGCCACGGTCCTGGTCCCGCTAGGCAGCAATTTGGGAAGATTCTAGGGCTTCCCTCCTTTGACTCCCACCTTTCTGATATTTCTAGTTTTATGTTCAATGTGTTGAACATTATTGTTTCATAAACATTGCCCATTTTTTAGTTGTTCAGGTAGGAGGGTAAATCCACTCCCATCTTGTACTGAAGCATCTCTCTCACCTGCTACATTTTCACCCATTTTTAGATGACTCAAGAGGGGATGAGAGGTTACATAACTTGCTCAAGGGCACTCAGGTAGTAAGTAATACAACTGAATTTGGATATAAATATTTCAGACTTCCAAGATAACGGTGTTAATCATAAGGCTGGTAAATATTTAATATGAATTAATGTATTGAGTAATTGATACATTTATATGTAGATATTATATTAAGAGACATTGACAGATTTCATATAGAATTTGCTTTTCCTTTCTCCCTTTTAAAGGTAAATGTGAGGAACGTACAGGACAAATAATTTTAGTTTCTTCTGCTTATGAAATTGCTGTTCGTTCATGTCCTCTTAACCCAAATGAAAACAAAGGCAATATAAATTGGTATAAAAATGACAGCAACACATCTATATCTATGGAAAGAGGCTCCAGGATTCATCAGTACAAAGATAAGCTTTGGTTTGTTCCCGCTAAGGTCAAGGATTCGGGGCAATACTATTGCACAGTGAGGTAAGGAAGAAGTTACTTTGATACAGACATGTGTTCTGTGTACCTACAATAGTTAAGACAGAAATGTCCTTTAATAATGATTGATTCACCTATTTTGATTTATTTTAGAAATTCAACTTACTGCCTCAAGATTGAAGTAACTGCAAAGTTTGTACAACATGAACCTGACTTGTGTTACAGTGCACAAGCTATATACGAACAGAAACTAATTATTGCAGGAAATGGACAACTTGTGTGTCCTTATTTGGATTATTTTAAGGATGAAAACAATGAGTTACCCAAAATAGAGTGGGATAAGGTAATGTCTTAAGATATATATATATATATATATATATATATATTAAATCTTTATTCCCACATCTCATCACCCCATTGTTTGTGTCTACAGGTTATGCATATATGCATACAAGTTCATTGGTTGATCTCTTCCCACCCACCCTCCCTGCCTTCTCTCTGAGGTTCAACAGTTTGTTCATGCTTCTATGTCTCATGTAATGTTATATTAAATATAGTATTTTACTTTTCCAGCAAATAAAATAGTTTTCTTTCACAGACAATATGTTGAATCTGCAAAGTACATTTTCATTTGGCATATCATTTACTTTTGAATAGTGAAACTTAATAGGACATTTGAAAAAAGTTGTAAGACTACATATATTTAATTTGAAGCCTTACTAAAAGCTTACTTTCTGTTATTTTTCTTAAGAAGATATAGTTGAAGAAGAGTATAGTAAGAATAAAAGAAGTTTAAAGATAAGGCAGTATAAATTTAGGGTTTTTAAGAGATAACTATTTATTTTTTAAAAAGTATTCTTTTTTTGTTTATTTGTTAATCCTCACCCAAGGATACATTTAAAAATATATATTTTTATTGATTTCAGAGAGGAAGGGAGAGGAAGAGAGAGATAGAAACATTAATGATGAGAGAGAAACATTGATTGGCTGCCTCCTGCACACCCCACACTGGGGATCAAGCCTGTAACCCTGGCATGTGCCCTGACCAGGAGTCGAATGGTGACCTCCTGGTTTATAAGTCGACGCTCAACCACTGAGCCATGCCGGCTGAGCACCCAAGGATATTTTTTCTATAGATTTTTATAGAGAGTGGAAGGTGGGAGGGTGAGAGAGATAAACATCAATGTGAGAAAGACACATCCATTGTTGCCTTCCGCACACACCCCAGCTGGGGCCAAGGATCAAACCTGCAACCCAGGTACATGTCCTTGACTGGGAGTCAAACCTGCAGCTCTTTGGTACATGGGCCCATGCTCTAACCATTGAGTGACACAGGCCAGGGAACAAAATTTATTCTTTTGTGTTTTATTAAAATATCAAGTGGTCCATGCCCTAGCTGGTTTGGCTCACTGGATAGAGTGTCAGCCTGCGGACTGAGGGGTCCCGGGTTCGATTCCAGTCAAGGGCATGTACCTTGGTTGCAGGCACATCCCCGGTGGGGTGTGCGCAGGAGGCAGCTGATCGATGCTTCTCTCTCATCGATGTTTCTAACTCTCTATCCCTCTCCTTTCCTCTCTGTAAAAAATCAATAAAATATTTTTAACAAATCAAATGGTCTTTAAATAACTTAATAGTTTCTTTCTATTTTTTTAATCCTCACCGGAGGATATGTTTTTATTGATTTGAGAGAGAGAAACATTAATAGGTTGACTCCTGCACACACCCCAATCGGGAATTCAACCCACAACCTGGGGATGAGCCCTGACCGAGGATTGAACCGCGACCTTTCGGTGTATGGGAGGATGCGCCAAACAACTGAGCCACAGCGCCCAGGGCAGTAGTTTCTGTAACTGTCTTAGAAGAGATTGGCTAGCACTCCATGGAAACTATGGGTTTGCTACCTTTGATCTGCCGAGCTTGTTAGGGCTTCCTTGGGGAATCATGCTGTGCAGGGTAAGAAACACAAAGTCAGTAATATCTGTGAAGAAAGGAAGTACAGCATCACAGACAAGCTATATAGTGTGAGCATTCAAAGTGCAAGGCTCATAGGTGTAAGCATTTAATATCCTAGGAGTATAATTATGACTTTTGCCACAAAAATCACATTAAAATTTGTTATGCAGGGAATCTTTCTTTTCATATATATATAGGTGTGTGTGTGTGTGTGTGTGTGTGTGTGTGTGTGTAAGTACATATTTGTATATATATGTATAAATATATATAAAATATAATATACATATTGCATATGTATAAAACATTTGCTGATATGGAAAAGTGGAATGTTTCCTCCTGGCAGACTGGAGAAAGTTATTAATTGGTTTTCAATACTTTCTTCCTGTTGCTCTATCTAGGACTGCAAACCTCTACTTCTTGACGATGCAAACTTCATTGGAGAATCAAATAAACTCATCATCATGAATGTGACTGAAGCGCATAAAGGGAACTACACTTGCCGCGCATCCTATGCGCTCCTGGGAAAGCAGTATCCCATCAGCCGGGTGATCAAGCTTTTAACTCTTGGTGAGTCACAGCTCTGTCCTAAGACTTCCCACCCGGGAAGGCCCAGGGATCAGGATTCTACTATCATCTGCATGTCCCCGGAGGAGCTAAAGCCAAAAGTCACCTGGTTTTAACTTTTGTCGCTAAATACTGTGTAAATGGCTTCCCTCCTGCTTCAGACGAAGTGCTAATTAAACAGACGATATGAGCCGGGTTTCCATCTGACCGAGGAGGCTCATTCTTTGGCATGGCTGATGATGGTTCTTTCTGAGCCCTCCATAAATCGTATATGATAACGGTCACTCGCGGGGGTTTGGAAGTTAAAGGGGTCTCTACTGCGAATCATGCTGGGACAGGCACATGAGGGCGTGTCCCAGGGCAGGGACCCAGAACCGGACCGCCTGACTTACAGCGGAGCTTTCTTACTGCCATCATACTTTCTTTTTTCAAAGTTTATTATTTTGTTGAATCAGAATTAATTCCTACTAGTATCAGTGAATCATAGTTTTCAACAGTCACAACCATCTTGAGCTTTGAGCAGCCTCCCTCTGGTCGTTGTGTAGCTCTGATTTGTTCTTCCTGACTTGTAGCAACCAGACCAGCAGACATATTCTTCCTCTCCTTTTCTGATCCCTTGTGTAGACATAATGTACTTAATCAGGGGTGAGGTCATTTTTAAATATTCTTCTAAAGGAAGATTCAAAACTATTTATTGAGCATCTACTACGTGCCAGGAACTGTTACCAAACCAAAGAGACAGGATCCTGCCTTATGGAGCTGGCATTTAAGTTCATAGTTTCTCAGGGTTGGCCACAGGTTACCCCTTGAAGCCAATCTTTTTGTAAATAACAGTCAGATTAATTTCTGGAGCTACTTACTATTTTTATCCTGTTTTAATAAATTATGCCAAATTGCTTGACATTCTACTCTTGGGTCATTAGTAAAGGTCCTGTGTATAAGCAGGTCCAGCATCGAAGGCCCTCTGGGGAGTGATGCTCCACCAGGGAAGCACCAGCCCCCTCCTCGTCCTGATTGGCTCTAGGAGAGCCATTGTCTGCAGCCAGGGCCTGTGTTGCCTGTGGTTTTGTGTAGCCCAAGCTGCTGGGCTCAGAGGGCGCAGGCTTTGGAGCGGGTTGTCATGATTTGGCTGTGGCCTTCGTGCTGGCTCCCTCTTTCACTTCTTGCCTCTGTCTTCTGCCATAAATGCTTCCGACATTTGAGGGAATATCTGCCGGACGCCATGTATAGTTTGGTGTACTTGCCAAGTGTTGGTATCATTTGAGACCCTGATCTGTGCGAGACTGAGAGCCTGTGGATGTTTATTTCAGAGGAGAACAGGCCCCAGAGCCCTGAGATTGTGAGTCCAGTGAACGAGACGATGGAAGTGGTCCCGGGTGAGTAGCCTCCAGTCAGGACAGGCTGCGGTAATTATTCTGAGTTCGAGGTGAAGATAAATTGTACCTTTACTGCACAGAGCCTAAGCTGTTCACTGGACATGCCTATAATTAGAGAGAAAGTGGCTCAGGTTGCATATTAAATGTTCCTTTGGATTTCTTGCCTCTTATGGCACACATCGAACCACACCTGGTTGGGCTGTCCCTGCTCTCCTGCGGAGACTGATTACGCACGAGAACCACAGCCAGAGGCCAGCCTCAGCAGGCCGAGGGTGCGAAGTGTGACTCCTCGGAGACTGATTACGCACGAGAACCACAGCCAGAGGCCGAGGGTGCGAAGTGTGACTCCCGGTGCACAGGGCGCCTTTGGTGCTTTTAGGCAGGAGAGCTAGACTGCAGGCAAAAGGATGTCGTTCTAGAAAAACACTGTCACAAGTTAGTTAACTTCTACATAGTTTATCCCAAGGATAAAATCTTATAAACATCCAGCCCAGCCCCATATAGCGCAATAGCCGCAAGCCACATGTAGTTACGCATATGTAAATTTAAATTAAATTAATTTAGTTCAATTGAATATTAGTTTCTCAGTCAAGAGCTTAGTAGCCACATGTGACCAGTGACTTCAGGGTTAACACAAATAGAGCACATTTTCGCCATCACTGACCGTTCCATGAGAAACCGCTGGTCTAAGCGTAAAGGCAGGTTGGGTACCAGAGGATCAAAAATCACGTTAGTGTACAAAATTCTCGTCTGTGATAGTAACTGCAAGAAGACAAGGATTAGAAGGTAGAGTTGTGACCTGTGGGTTCTGTTAATTTGTTACTCATGATGTATGGTAATATAAAGAAATTCTTAGATATAAGCTAACAAACATGTGTAACTCATAATTATATATGGGCCTGTAGAATCGAGAGCAGCATTTCCCAATCCTTTCTCATGATTGTGCCCCCTTGGGAGCCTAAAAAGACATTTCCCTTCAGCCCTGCTCCTCTCTCAGGACTTAATCACAGATTCTGTCTGTCTGTCGATGTACTATGGCCCTTTGAGGGCCACAAACCCTTGCAACAGCTAAGATTTCCTTGGCCCCTTAAACGGATAAAACAATTAAAGTATGACATGCCCCAAATAAAATGTACATGATATTTTCCTGATTTGGTGGTAGAGAGAGATTTTAGAAAAAAATAGTGAAAACAGATAAACAGTTATAAATTTGACCAAACAAAAAATAAAAATATCTTTACCAAAGGATTTCCATAAAAATGAAATGAAAGCAAGCAACACCGAGGATTTTTGGAGTTGTCGTGTGTGATAGAGTTACCACAATGATGCCAGGAAATAATGGGCAGTAGGTATAACCAGCAGTTCTTAAAGGCAAAGGAACGCTAAGCTTATAAAAAACATGTCAGTTCGCCATTAATTCAAGAAACGCAGGCGAAATGTGAATGGAATGTGTTTCCTCTCTGAGTCGGCACTGACTAGTGGGGGCGCCTGGGGTGAACGCACGGCACTCACGCCGGGCGAGCGGGAAGTGCAGTCTTGTGTGGGCGAGAGGGGCTGGCTTTTAAAATGTATCTCCTTTAACTGGATTCTACTTCTGGATTTTCATTCGGTGTGCTGTTTTGGAAAATGTACAATATTGGTGTACAAGAATGCTCATGGAATAGTAATCGTAATAATGAAAACTTAGGAACAGATTGTGTTTAGCACTGGGAAATGATCATCATATTCTGTCTGATTGTGGAATGCTGAGCCAGCCACGAAGGAGCCTATTTTGGAAGGCTAATCTCGTGAGCCAACATTCCCAACCCAATAATAATTACAAATAGTAGATAATAACACCCATTTAAATAATTGCATATGTACACAGAGAAGATAAGGAATGAGATACAAAATGTTACTAATAGTGGTTATCTCTAGGTGGTAAGTGTAAGGGTGATTTTTCTTTTTCTTTGTGCTTTCCTATAATTTAAGATTCTTATTCAGTAGCCATTTGTTAATATAGATAAATGGATCACTTGAAAATTAATTAATGTTAGGCTTTAAAATGCACTGCTTCGCAGGATCCCAGCTGCAGTTGGTATGCAACGTCACTGGCCGGGAAGCTAACTTTGTCTACTGGAAGTGGAACGGGTCACTGATTGATGATGACGACCCGGTGCTGGCGGAAGACTACATACAGTAAGCATGCTGAGCGCCAACCACAGCAGAGACGTTTTGTTGTTAAATTGCACGTCATACTTTATACAGTCTTGATGGTTTCCAGTGGTCGGCAAACTCATTAGTCAACAGAGCCAAATATCAACAGTACAACAATTGAAATTTCTTTTGAGAGCCAAATTTTTTAAACTTAAACTATATAGGTAGGTACACTGTCATTAACTTAATTAGGGTACTCCTAAGGCTTAGGAAGAGCCACACTCAAGGGGCCAAAGAGCCGCATGTGGCTCGCGAGCCGCAGTTTGCCGACCACTGGAATAGCAAATGACCACTGGAATAGCAAACGTTACTTGGTGGTTGATTGGTTCTTAACCCTTTGCCACCCATATTGAGTTTCGTTAAGCTAAACAGGATTTACAAGAGCTTGTACATTTAAGATAAAAATGCATGTCATCGTGGTGCAAATTCAGGACAACTTGGAAGGCTTTCTGTTGAATTAGTTACATATGTTGCAACAGTCCGGTGAAGCAATCTTCATGTTATTCCACTTTTTAAGTAATCTAAAGAGGACGCATAAAATGGGCCAAGAATCACGCCTTCCACTGCTCAAGTCCTCAGGGCTCCTGGAACCTCTCTAGGGATAAACTCCTGACTCCTTAGCATCACCTTCAAACCCTGTGCCATCTGCCTACTCTACTCTTGTTCCATATATTCCTTTCTGTGCCCCATGGAGACCAAAATGCATATGTTCATATTTTTCTTCTTGGAAGCTGGTGATTTTTATTCAGTTTCTCTCCTACTGCGTCTTTTACTGTTAATGGACGTAGGTCCATAACATCTCGATCAATGTTGCTAACAGCCTAATTGTTATACCTGTGTGTAGGCTGGTGGTTGTTTCTGCCTTCATTTATGCAACAAATAAAGAGAAAGACCATGCACGTGGCTTACTTGTTGTTAATGCAGTTTACTTAAAACAACTTATTCTCTCTCTCTCTCTTTTGAACAGAGTGGAAAATCCTCCATCCAAAAAAAGGAACACAGTCATCTTAATGCTTAATATTTCAGAAGTGAAAAGTAAATTTTATCTATATCCATTTACCTGTGTAGCCAGGAATAAATATGGAATAAATGCAGCATATATCCAATTAATACACCCAGGTAAACAATAAAACTGTTTATTGGAAATGTGCTTTTATTTTACCATGGTAAGATTCTGTGACCTTGAGGTTTGCAAGGCCATTCCCTCTGCCCAGAATGCTCTGGGATTCCTGTTAACCTGGATAACATCTTCCCTTTCTCACTTCTCCGCTGAACTGTTTCTTCTGCCAGGGAGCCTTTCTGTACTGTTCTCTGCCAGAACAGAAGTGGTGAGGCCTCTGGTGTGTGCTTCCATAGCACCCTAGGTCCCCGCCCGCCACGGTAGTTGTCATACTTAGTTTTCTTTATTTGACTGTAAGTCCTGTGGTGCTGCAGACCATTTATCTTCCTAACTATCCTATTTCCAAAACTAGTAGCAACTTAAGTCTGGTCGCAGTAGCTATCTAATGAATATTTTTAGGTGAATGATGGATGTGCAGGGGAAGTTTAAATGTTGTTTTTAAATATATATATTTTTTATTGATTTCAGAGAGGAAGAGAGAGATAGAAACATCAATGATGAGAGAGAATCATTGATCGGCTGCGTCCTCCACGCCCCCTACTGGGGATCAAGCCCATAACCCAGGCATGTGCCCTTGACCAGAATCAAACATGGACCCTTCAGTCCATAGGCCAATGTTCTATCCACTGAGCCAAACCAGCTAGGACTGCAGGGGAAGTTTAAATATCCACTTTCCAGAGAGAGTGTCAGAAGTTATTGATTTTCATGAGTTGTATAATCTTAAGACACAGTATTGAGAGTATTTGTGAAATATTTTAAGATTATTTGTAGTTAAAATAGGGTATTTATGAATGTGTACATGGAAGAAAATCTGAACAAACTATTAGACTTAATAAATGAATTTAGCAAGATAACTAGTCTATATATATGTAGTATTTCTATGTATGTCTATAAATACCAACAAACCAATAGAATTACATTTAAAAGTATCATTTACAGTAGCATCAAGAATTATCGAAGACATAGAAATAAGCTAGCAAAAGCTGTTCAAGACCTCTGTAATACAAACTAAAAAAACAACAATATTATTGAGTAAATTGGAGAAGACCTCAATAAGGGAGGGATATACAATGTTCATGGATTGAGAGACTCAATATTATAAAGATGTTAGTTGTCCCCAAGTGAATTTATAGATTAAAAACCATCCCACTCAAAATCTCAGCACTGTTTGTGCAAGTATGGGTGTGTGTGTGTGTGTGTGTGTGTGTGTTATGGGCAGGCTTATTCTAAAAGTCATATGGAAATGTAAAGAGTCAAGAACAGTCAAGATGGTCTTAAATAAAAATGACAAGTTTATAAGATTTATACTATAGATACCATGATCTTGTATGAAGTCACAGTTGTGAAGATTGTAAACATAACCTATCAATTGAGCCAATTAGCTATTGGTCTAGAACAGGAGTGGGCAAACTTTTTGACTCGAGGGCCACAATGGGTTCTTAAACTGGACCGGAGGGCCGGAACAAAAGCATGGATGGAGTGTTTGTGTGAACTAATATAAATTCAAAGTAAACATCATTACATAAAAGGGTACGGTCTTTTTTTTTTTTTAGTTTTATTCATTTCAAACGGGCCGGATCCGGCCCGCTGGCCGTAGTTTGCCCACGGCTGGTCTAGAAAATGGTATATCTTGATTTCTACTTTATACCCAAGTCAATTGCAGATGGGTCAAAGACCTAAATTGAAAAAGTAAAATAAGAGAGCTTTTAGGTTCTCTTTTCTTTTCTTTTTAAAAAATATGTTTCTATTGTTTCTTTGTGTTTTTTTTTTGTTTTTTTTTGTTTGTTTTTTTTGTTTGTTTTTTTTTTTTTTTAGAGAGAGGAAGGAAGAGGGAGAGTGAGATAGAAACAATAATGAGAGAGAACATTGACTGGCTGCTTCCTGTATGCACCCCTCACCGAGGCTGCAACCTAGGCATGTGCCCTGACCGGGAATTGAACTGATGGCCTCTTGGTGCATGAGTTGATGCTCAACCACTGAGCACATTGTCTGGACAGGTTCTCTTTCTTGATGCCTACTTACCCCTGACATTTATTTTTTATTTTATTTTTAAAAAATCTTTATTGCTGAGAGTATTACAGATACCCCCCTCCCAACCCCCCATTACCACTTTCCAGCCAGCTCCCACCCCACTCCAGGCCTTCACTACTCTTTTGTCTGTGTCCATAGGTAATGCATATATGCATATAAGATCTTTGGTTAATCTCTTTCTGTCCCCCCTTCCCTTCCCTGAGATTCATTCGTCAGTCTATTCCATGTTTCCATGCCTCTGGTTCTATTTTATTCATCAGTCTATTTTGTTGATTAGATTTCTTGTTCATGTATTTTGATTTTTAGATTTAATTGTTGATACATATGTATTTATTGCCATTTTATTGTTCATATTTTTCTTCTTTCCTCCTCCTCCTTCCTCTTCCTCTTCCTCTTCCTCTTCCTCTTCCTCTTCTCTTCCTCTTCCTCTTCTTCTTAAAGAATGCCCTTCAGCATTTCATGTAATACTGGTTTGGTGGTGATGAACTCCTTTAGCTTTTTCTTGTCTGTGAAGCTCTTTATCTGATCCTCAATTCTAAATGAGAGCTTTACTGGGTAGAGTAATCTTGGTTGTAGGTCCTTACTACTCATCACTTTGAATATTTCTTGCCACTCCCTTCTGGCCTGCAAAGTTTCTGTTGAGAAATCAGCTGATAGTCATATGGGTACTCCTCTGTAGGTAACTAACTGCTTTTCTCTTGCTGCTTTTAAGACTTTCTCTTTGTCTTTAACTCTTGTTTTTTTAATTATGATGTGTCTTGGTGTGGGCCTCTTTGGGATTCTCTTTTTTGGGACTCTGTGCTTCTTGGACTTACAAGTCTGTTTCTTTCACCAGGTAGGGAAGTTTTCTGTCATTATTTCTTCAAATAGGTTTTCAATATCTTTGTCTCTCTCTTCTCTCTCTGGCACCCCATAATGTGAATAGTGATACTCTTGAAATTGTCCCAGAGGCTCCTTACACTATCTTCATATTTTTGGGATTCTATTTTCTTTTTGCTGTTCAGATTGGTTGTTTTTTGCCACCTCATATTCCAAATCATTGATTAGATTATCGGAATCATCTATTCTGCTGTTAAATCCCTATAAATTATTATTTATTTTAGTTAGTGTATGTTTAATTTCTTTTTTTCATGTTAAAAATATTTATTTATAAAAAAATACAATGGGATAAGTTTATGCTGAGAAATTTAGCAATAAATACAGCTGAAAACAGAGCAAGTCTACACCAATACACTGGCACAATGGGAAGGGCACACGCACCACCCAGACCCACGTGTCTGCGGGCCCACTGCCCATGCTCCTTGAGAAACACCACTTGGAAAAGGTCTCGTTCGCTCAGGTGAGAGAATGAGGACACATATAATCACCAACGCACTCAGATCATTAGCAAGCAATACTGTAGAAACTTCAATCTGTGAACGTCTAAAATGCTGCACCTTCAGTTTAGTTGGCAGACACCACCTTCAGCTTAATTTCTGACTGGTCCTTTTTTATGTCTTTGATGTTCTCACTAAGGTTCTTGAAATTCTCACTGAGTTCCTTGAAAGTTTCACTAAGTCCCTTGAAGCTGTCATTAAGATCCTTGAGCAACCTTATAACCATTGTTTTGAACTCTGTATTTAGTAGTTTGCATGCTTTCATTTCATTTACTTCTTTTTCTGGAGATTTCTTCTGTTCTTTCATTTGTGACATGTTTCTTTGTCTCTGCATTTTGACTGCTTCCCTGTGTTTGTTTCTATGTATTAGGTAGAGCTGCTATGTCTCCTGGAATTGGTAGAGTGGCCTTGTGTAGTAGGTGTCTTATAGGGCCCAGTGACTCAGCCTCCCCAGTCACCTGAGCTGGGCACTCTAGGTGCACCCCTGTGTGGGCTATGTGCACAGTCTTGTTGTAGTTGAGCCTTGATTGCTATTGGTGTTGCTGGGAGGAGTTGACCTCCAGGCCAATTGGCTGTGGGGACCAGCTGTGACTATAGTGGAAGAGCTGCTGTGCAGGAGACACCCTTATGGAGCAGGACTTGCTTCAGTGGGATTTGGTGTTCACTGAGTCTGCCCCTTGAGTGTGTCACTGTGGATGTGTAGAGTTGTAATCTAATTTGGTCTGGAGCTGTCAACCACTGCCTGGGGCCACTGGGCAGGAGCTACAGAGAGATCTGCAGATGGCTGCTACTTGGAAATGCCCAGGCGAGGTCAAGCTGTGAAGCAAGGCAGTCTTAGGTTTCTTATTGATCAGTTTGGGGCACACTGATGTCAGATGTTGCTTGTTTAAGAGATTTTAGGAAAGTCTGAAGCCCGAGCCAGGATAGGCCATTCCTATAGAAAAGCCACTGCAAACAGTTTGGATGGCACTGCAAATTGGATGGGGCGGGATCTTGGAAATCACCAGGGCAGACTGAACAGTGTGAGCCAGGCGATGGAAATCAGATATGGCTGCCAGTCAGTTTTGCAAGGGGGAGGTCCCAGCATAGGAACAATGACCTCTGTGAGCCCCCCTGTCTGGAAGAAAACGGCCCCTGAATTCTTGCCCTGAGGCCAGACAATCCAATTCCTCCCTGAATGTCCCAGGTTCCTTTCAAGCTGCTGCTCCAGTGCTGGAGCTCAGAGAAATCAAGTCCGAGTAAGTTCGTGCTCTGGCCCTTTAAGAAGAACATGTGGGTCTCCAGCTGCCTATGAGTCACTCAGCCACAATTCCCACTGGTTTTACAACCTGAAATTACAGGGACATCTCTTCCCAGCTCTGTAACCCTGGGCTGGGGGGTCTGGTGTGGGGGTGGGACTCTTACTCCTCCTGGGAGGCTTCCACAGAGATGATCTCCCTCTGATTAAAACCACACCACACATAGGTGTTGGACCAACCCATTCCATGTCTCCACCCCTCCTACCATCTCAGTGTACTTTCTTATTTACTTCTCTCATTATAGGATTTCTATTCATCCAGATTTCATGGTTGTTCTGTATTTTAGTTGTAATTTTAATGTTATTATCTGAGGTGGTGAGTACCAGCATTTACCTACACCACCATCTTGGTTCTCCTCCTGACCCCTGACATTTGCAAGTCCCTTTCTTGTTTCTTCTTCTCTACCCCCTTCTCCTTACCTTTCCTTCACTTTCCTCCTCTGCCCCCCCCCCACTCTGTAATCAATCATTGGATGAATAATTAGCCAGTGAAGCCTGGAGAACATCCAAGTGTTAAACATTCTGTGTGGCATCCCTCACCCTTCTCTTTCCCCCTAGCCTTCACCTTTCCCACCTGACTCTTCTACCTCTAGGAACTTTTGCTGGCTTTTGAGTAACTTAGACTCTTTTTACTATATTGTGCTCTATCCTATGGTCTTTGTTATTTTTCTGTGAGATTGTATATTATACTACTTAGGTGGAGATTTAGTACAATGCACTGCAGTTTTTCTACATGGTATCCATTCTAGATGTCTTTGTACATTAATACCCATTATTAAGTGATAATGAATGGATTAATACTATCTGAGATTTGGGATTACAGGCCAGTCCCAAATATGGTTTCTCTGGGATGATGATGTTTAATTTGTTGTGCTCAAATGTTTAATTCTTTTGGTTCTAATAAATGTTTCCTCTCTTTTCTGCTCTAGTCCCCAGTTTCCAGAAGCACCTGATTGGTATATTCGTCATGTTAACAGTAGTGATTACCAGCTCTGTTTTCATCTATAAAATCTTCAAGGTTGACATTGTGCTTTGGTACAGGGATTCTTGCTATGATTTTCTCCCGAAAAAAGGTACAATTTTTATTTTATGCAACATTTTCTTGTTGAAGAGAGGGGATAGTTAAGAGATATAGAAGATAATTAAGAGAGTTTTTACTTAAATTTTAAAATGAAATTTAACAGATATAAAAATAGTAGTTATTCTTATATATAATTACAGTTTCCAAGTTACTGCTCTAGGCTCATAGTGGTGGGGTCAATGGCATTGAGAGCATCTTCATAGACCCGGGTACTCAGGACCCGCTCTGTGCTGGGCAGAACACAGATCACCCAAGATTGCTATCAAATCAAAGAAAGGACTCAATTTTCATGCATGCACTCTCTCTTTTGTTTAAATCTTGCAAAAAATGAAGCTGCAATAATACATAGAAGGGAGGATGGTAGAATTGGGCGTTGTGGCGTGGGGAGGGAGACGAGAACTGGAGGCCATTCCCACGCAGAGAGGTGGAGGGCACTGCATGTGGGTGGCCGGCAGTCACATAAGAACAGCTTTGCAGTAAACTCAACAGAGACACTTGTCAGGGTACAGCGTTTGAAAAAGGTGTGCTGTGTTTTGTATTGAAACTTCATTCATACCATCACATGAAATAGTAATTCATTCGGAAGTGCATGTTTGCTATATCTACTTTACCAAACCTCTTATTTTTCCTTGTGGTTCTAAAATATCACATTTCCCCTTTAGCTTCAGACGGAAAGACCTATGATGCATACATACTGTATCCAAAGACCCTTGGGGAAGGGTCCACCTCTAATTCAGATGTTTTTGTGTTTAAAATCTTACCTGAGGTCTTAGAAAAACAGTGTGGATACAAGCTGTTCATTTATGGAAGGGATGACTACGCTGGGGAAGGTATGAACATAAAGGGAGAAGTAAAAATCTCGTTTTGAAACTAATTTATCTATTAAATTAATCGGGTTAATTAAATTGGGTTTCATCTTTCTAGATGACTAGCATGGGTAACATATTTGACAATTTTAAGACCCTCTTCAGTGGTGCATAATGATTTTCACATTATTTAATGCAAAGTATTTACTTTTCTCGTATTTTGTTGAAACAACAATTAACTAAGTTGTACTTCGTTTTTGAAAACGTAATTGCTAGTTAGATCTGAAAATTGCTTTATAGCCGATACAGTAAAATAAAAGAGGAATAGGTCAACCGGTTTACCAACCATATTTTAAATTCTTACTGAAAGTGCTCTGAGTCCTAAGAGAATGCTCAGCTTCTGGGGCTAGTGTTTTGAGCTGGCCTCTAAGTGGGACCCTCCTTTAACCCTAAGTAAGGCAAGTGTTAGGGGACACTGGGGTTTTGGCTCTGGAAAGAATGATTGTAAATAGAAGTTGCACTTACTATGCCATGCTTTGTGTTTCTCAGACATTGTTGAGGTCACAAATGAAAACATAAAGAAGAGCAGAAGGCTGATTATTATTTTGGTCCGAGAAACATCGGGATTCAGCTGGCTAGGGAGGTCGTCTGAAGAGCACATCGTGTTGTACAACGCCCTCGTTCAGGACGGGGTCAAGGTCGTCCTGCTGGAGCTGGAGAAGATCCAGGACTACGAGAAAATGCCCGAGTCCATCCAGTTCCTCAAGCGGAAGCAGGGGGCCATCCGCTGGTCAGGGGACTGGACGGGGGAGAGGTCACAGTCTGCAAAGACAAGGTTCTGGAAGAAGGTCCGGTACCACATGCCTGCTCAGCAGCCCCTCCAGCCAAGCGCCAGTTGCTGTCTGCAGCCCCAAGGCCCGACTCCAGGGAGAGACTGCGAGGGGAGGGCCCCGTGCCTCTCGGGTAGCAGGTGATGCCTGTCCTGTGGCTCTAGGCTGGGCTGGCCTCGCTGATGTACAGGCACAGACTTGCATGACCCTTCACCCCAGGCCACCTGGAGTCAGATGGGTAAGGGCAGGATGGTGACAACAGCAGCCCGGGCAACTCAAAGCAGAGGGGCAGGGAAGGCCTTCCAGAGGCCGCTGCTGCCCTCTGGGCGTGTGAGCTGCCGAGAAAAGGCCCGGGAGAGCCAACAACTGGAAAGAACATTCAGGAAATGCATTTGTGGAGTCACTCGCAGTTCCAGGGGCTGTGCCCAGATGGGACTGCAGGGCCCCTTGAGTGGCCGGGGCGTGGGAAGACATTGGAGAACTGGCCACTGGTCTTGCATTTTTCACACACATCTGCAGCCAGCAGCCGTTTCCAAAGACTAAATTTCATTGTTTAGACCTTTAAAACTGCCATTTCAACAAAAAAAGAGATTCTCCAGGATTTCAAGGTTTTAAAATAACCTTAGCTTCCCACTGGGGAGAGGTCAAAAGCAAGAGTAGCAGAGAAGGGATCCTCTCCTGCTGCCCCTGGGATGGCCATTCTGTCCCACCTTGTTCTTCTGCATTTCACTTGGCTCTTTACTTTGGAAGGACAACTTCCAAGTCACTTCCTTCTCCACTGGGTCATGCACACGACCCACAGATTAACCACCTTCCTGACCACCGCTCTCCTCTCAGCCGCTGCGCCGGCTCTCCTGGCTCAGGAGCACAGCCGGGTTCCCATTGGCATTTCCCTGTGGGCTGTGCTTCCGACGGGGGCTCAGGCTGGTCTGCACGGACCCCGCGGAGAGTGCCCACAGACTGCCTGTTCACTGTCTGCTGACACCTGGATGTTAGAAAGCCAGCAGCTGCCGACAGCAGTCACTCAGCGCTGGGCTGGCCGGGCTGCTTCCAGGGCTGCGGCCGAGGGTGTGATCTTGGCCACACCTGCCTTCCCCTGCCTTTTGTGGGAAGAAATGGTAGTTTCCAGGATGGTACGCTGCTCATTCCTGTAAATATTGGAATTAACAAAAGTCACGGTAGATTTTTATGGAAAAGTTTCTGCCTCCATATGTTCTTCCCCTAAAGTAAATGCATGTTGGTAAGTAAAAACAAGAGAAGTTGTGCTTGTGTTTTCTGGTGTAGAAGAACATGTTAACACTTGATAGTCGTCCCAGGACAGTTCAGAGGAACCCGGACACTGCACAGCCACAGCCGTGTGCCGCCTCCTGAGGTCACAGAGACATGGCAGGTCACAGAGACATGGCAGGTCACAGAGACATGGTAGGTCACAGGGCCATGGCAGGTCACGGGGACATGGTAGGTCACGGGGACATGGCAGGTCACGGGGACATGGTAGGTCACGGGGACATGGCAGGCCTTTTGTATTTGTGTTTTTAATATTTAATATCATAGGTGAACACAGACTTTCCTTTGGTATTTTTTTCCTCAAAAGTAATCAGAACTGGACAGAAGTGGATTCGCTGCCACCTCCTCCCACCTATTTCTCTTGGATTCAATCTGGCAGTCGGGGGCACAGCATGGCTTTGGAGCTGCTGTTTTTAAAGAAAGCGCTTTCTTTTCACCTGGGAGACCCTGCCAGCAGTTTGGGGGTGCCAGGGAGGACTGTCCTCTCCCCAAGTTCAGAGCAGATGCTGCACATCGTGCTGAGAGGTTCAGTCGGTCAGCTCTAGAAATACCCGCACGTGAGTTCCAGTAAGGCCACTCTGAACCTGAGAACTAGCCAGGAACCGGGGTGAGGGCAGACAGCCAGGAATGGCCAGCGGCTGGCACCTGGGGCCTCGGGGCGAGAATCCTGGCCACGCCCAGAGGAGGGCGGAGGGTCCCAGAGGAAAGCGTACCCCCGAGTTCCCTGGGAACTGTTTCCCCAAAAACCTCTTTTAAGCTTGTCCTTTCAGGGCTCCTCGGTAACTAGATTTCACTGCGTTTCTGATGATACAGTTTTTCAGCCTGAATGCTTACAACGGGTTTGCACGTGCACTAAAGTGTTGCATTTCAAGCTGCTACCACTGGCTTAGCTGGGTTTCTGTTCCATTCTCCCGACTCTCTTATTTGCAGTTGTGGGTACGGAGCTGGCGTGAAAGGGCACTTGTGATAATTGTATCTGTAACGGTTAATGAGGAGGAGTCTTTTACAGACTCGTGTGTATAAGTCAGCAGCAGATACCACATATTTTTGTAGTAAAAACACCAATTCATGTACAGCATGTATCATTGATTAGTGGGCTGTACTTGTTTTCTAATAAAATTGTCAAAACCTGGTATCAAGGGTTCTCATGGCCAGGCCCGATGTGGGGTGAGGGCACCTTCAGCCGGGGAGGGCCAGGGCCTGGGGGCCCACAGTGAGCCCCGACTCCCACCAGTGGCCTCAGCCGTGCTCCCTCTGCTGGCCTCTATGTGGAGTATAATGCGTGTTTTAGGATTATGAACCCTGTACCCGTCCAGCAAGGCCAGACAACGTTGTATAGACTTGCACATTTTACAAAAGGTTTCTTTTCATTTTCTTCTTTGACCAGGAGGTAAACACAATTGGCAACCGTGGTGTCAAACTGCAAGCTCTAATGAGCACAGATTCTAGTGACCAGGCCCTTCCCTTCCAGCACCTGCAGTGCCTTTGTCTTCTGCTCAGAGCAGGTCTGCCAAGGGCTGGTCAGCTAGAGTGCTGTGGGGTCACCCCGCCTCCGCCCCCACGTGCTGTGAGCCTCCCTCAGCCCCGCCTCCACGTGGTGTGAGCCTCCCTCAGCCCCGCCTCCACCTCCACATGGTGTGAGCCTCCCTCAGCCCGCCTCCACCTCCACATGGTGTGAGCCTCCCTCAGCCCGCCTCCACCTCCACATGGTGTGAGCCTCCCTCAGCCCGCCTCCACCTCCACATGGTGTGAGCCTCCCTCAGCCCGCCTCCACCTCCACATGGTGTGAGCCTCCCTCAGCCCGCCTCCACCTCCACATGGTGTGAGCCTCCCTCAGCCCGCCTCCACCTCCACATGGTGTGAGCCTCCCTCAGCCCGCCTCCACCTCCACATGGTGTGAGCCTCCCTCAGCCCGCCTCCACCTCCACATGGTGTGAGCCTCCCTCAGCCCGCCTCCACCTCCACATGGTGTGAGCCTCCCTCAGCCCGCCTCCACCTCCACATGGTGTGAGCCTCCCTCAGCCCGCCTCCACCTCCACATGGTGTGAGCCTCCCTCAGCCCGCCTCCACCTCCACATGGTGTGAGCCTCCCTCAGCCCGCCTCCACCTCCACATGGTGTGAGCCTCCCTCAGCCCGCCTCCACCTCCACATGGTGTGAGCCTCCCTCAGCCCGCCTCCACCTCCACATGGTGTGAGCCTCCCTCAGCCCGCCTCCACCTCCACATGGTGTGAGCCTCCCTCAGCCCGCCTCCACCTCCACATGGTGTGAGCCTCCCTCAGCCCGCCTCCACCTCCACATGGTGTGAGCCTCCCTCAGCCCGCCTCCACCTCCACATGGTGTGAGCCTCCCTCAGCCCGCCTCCACCTCCACATGGTGTGAGCCTCCCTCAGCCCGCCTCCACCTCCACATGGTGTGAGCCTCCCTCAGCCCGCCTCCACCTCCACATGGTGTGAGCCTCCCTCAGCCCGCCTCCACCTCCACATGGTGTGAGCCTCCCTCAGCCCGCCTCCACCTCCACATGGTGTGAGCCTCCCTCAGCCCGCCTCCACCTCCACATGGTGTGAGCCTCCCTCAGCCCGCCTCCACCTCCACATGGTGTGAGCCTCCCTCAGCCCGCCTCCACCTCCACATGGTGTGAGCCTCCCTCAGCCCGCCTCCACCTCCACATGGTGTGAGCCTCCCTCAGCCCGCCTCCACCTCCACATGGTGTGAGCCTCCCTCAGCCCGCCTCCACCTCCACATGGTGTGAGCCTCCCTCAGCCCGCCTCCACCTCCACATGGTGTGAGCCTCCCTCAGCCCGCCTCCACCTCCACATGGTGTGAGCCTCCCTCAGCCCGCCTCCACCTCCACATGGTGTGAGCCTCCCTCAGCCCGCCTCCACCTCCACATGGTGTGAGCCTCCCTCAGCCCGCCTCCACCTCCACATGGTGTGAGCCTCCCTCAGCCCGCCTCCACCTCCACATGGTGTGAGCCTCCCTCACCCTGACTCCGCCCCCACATGCTGTGAGCCTTCCTCACCCTGCCTCCGCCCCCACATGCTGTGAGCCTCCCTCAGCCCCGCCTCCACCTCCACATGCTGTGAGCCTCCCTCAGCCCTCCACCTCCACCCACGTGGTGTGAGCCTCCCTCAGCCC